GACTGCATATCACCCATGTTAAAATGGCAATTCTGAAGAGATTTCATCGCCAATTGAAAGCCTATGTAGCAGCAAAGGACAACCCTTATGACTGGGAAAATAATTTGCCACTAACTCGTCCATCAGAAACACATTAAAAGATCTACAATGTACACCGGCAGAAATAGTTTTCAACACTACCTTAATTCTGCCAGAACAATTCTTCAAGGACAATAAAAAATATTCAGCCTTCAACAGCTTTCATACACCAACTTAGAGAAAAAATGTTTCGCCTACAATTTGCACCGGTTAGGACAGCTACTACTCGAATTTATATTCTGAAGGATTTACAAAATTGTAAAAATGTATTTATACAAAATGACTTTGTAAAAAAACCCCCAAAAAACCATTGGCTCAACGCTACAGCGATCCATACCTTTTCCAACATAGGACGGACAAATACTTTACCATTTTGTGCAACGGAAAGACAGAGAATATGGATAGGATCAAAGTCAGCGTATGTTGATAATGGAAATGCATCAACATCAAAACCAATAACGCTATCACAATCACCACATCCAAGTAACAAATCGTCCCAGAGTGATTCCACAGCGGAAACAAGCTAGCAACATCGCACTGCTAAATCGGGAAGAAGGGTCACTTGGCCCAAACACTTTAAATGGTACATTACTTACTGACTTTCTCACAATTATCAATCTGGAGGAGGGTATTTGTAGAGTAGGCGGAAGTGAACAACATCAAATCAAAGGAACAAATGACAAAATTAAATACACTTAGCAAGGGCTCCGCGCAACCTTCCGGGTTTCAAACATACTTCAACTTTTCAATTTAATAAAAATAAATAGCCAATAAAATCAGCTCCCACCAGTAAATAAACACAGGCCTATGGAACTTACACAAGACCATAAAAACCAAACATTCATTCAACTCGGCAGAAGGACTGACAGAACTAAAGAGACACGAGTCAACCTCGGCGTCTTGTCTTTCTCATCAAAGCAACAGCGGACTCCCTTTGATCTTATCTCCCAACTCATTTCCTTACTAAAAGACTATTCATGTTTATTTCCTTACAGTCAAAGAGAAGAACTTTCTAACTTTCATTTCATGAGAGTTAAAATTTGTGTATTCTATATTTAAATAAATATCCTTTTATTTGAACATGCAACAATAGTAGCCTTTACTTTAGAGCAGCATTTAAGGCCTTCCTGAAATAATTTACTGAATTTGATTTGAAGTATGTTTGTTAAATGACTTTCAATTTCTGTTACGGATGTAATTTGAAATTCATTAAACATGTATTTTAGCAGGACATTGAAAAGGTCCAGTTCTTCAATAAAATCTAAACCAAAGAGGTTCAGGTTGGTCAAATCAGTGATATAGCACACTCCTGGAAAACTGTTTTTTAATGAAACATCACAATTTAACTCGCCAGTTTGATCATATTATTCTAGAGAGTTCAGATCAAGGGGCATAACTTAGTTTGCATCTAGGAAACAACTTTACACACTACCTACTAACAATGAGGTTTTATTCTTCGTTTGAAGCATGTGAAGGATCATTTGCTCTTTTTATCTTTTCAGACGAAACATCATCTTCCCTTTTCTCTAAAGAGGATCAACAGTAAACGCCCTTCTTTTACCATCAAAACAAGGTCAGCAACAATCAGCAGTAGCCCATGCAACAAATCCCTCAGGCCAAGGATGGTACATTCTATGGCCTTATGCATACAAACGAGAAAAATTCAATTAATGGTGGTAGAGTTCATCTGTGTCTTGGTATCTCAGTTCATTTTATTCAGACATTGGTTTTCTTCAATGAATGTAATGAAGCAATGTCCTGCATGCAAATGATCTGTTTGAAAGCATTTGACTTTTTCCTCAACTGTGCTTCTACATTCTTCAAAAATATCCCATACCCAAGCTCTCATCAATTCATCCAAGTAAAATCTGGAACTTGCCATGAGACCATTACTTATAACATTTGCAAGTAATGGGTTCATAATTCCACTCCAAAACATTGCACCTTTGTCATTTTGTTAAAGTATCAACCTACAGGTACCTGGCCCATCAAAGTTAGCACAGCATTTGTCAATGAATAGAACAGATGAAAAATTTGTCATTTATTTGTTGTATATTATATTTGACTCTCTTTATGGATATCTTTTAAAGGAAGTTTAGCAATCATTATTGCAGTTTAGACATTTCATTTCAGACATCATCGGCGTTTCAACACTTCCTTTCCCTTTCAATGTTTTATCACTTAAAGTTTTTCTTGTAAATTTTATGGGTCACAAATTGGCCAGATAAATTCATCAACTTGTGTGATAAGACCTGCATCAGATTTATCCAGGATTTTCACAAACTTCACAGTTCAGTGGGATCTAATGATCATTTTTGCAATTTCCAGCAGTTTTGACCATTGCAAGATCTGAAGCTACTAAACATTTCTCATTATCCATTATATCATCCTTACAATATATTTTAAAGCTTCAAAATTGCAACATGGCTTTCAGTTTGAAATGCCATGTTTTCCTCTTAACTGCACACATATTGTGATAATTTACCAAATAAGCCTTTATTTGCCAAGAAGTGTTTATTTTATATAAATCAATAACACACAAAGTATCTAGTCATGTGAGATGCAAGATATATGAGTGGATGCTGAAAAGTTCAAGTTTTTTGGAACAAAAAAAAAAAAAAAAAAAATTGTTATTTTGTCACTTGGTTGAATTTTGGCAAATTGGTCAGGTTAAGAACTTTGCATCAAACCCTCATACAAAATATTTGTTGCTCATTAACAGTATAATTTACTTTAACATGGTTTCATTATTTAAGGATATATGTTAGTGTTTAGTTTTGATAAATTTTCCTATTGAAAAACAAAAGAGGATGATCAGAATTTAAGGAATAAAGTTTTAAAAATAATATGCAAGTCCATTAGGTTTAGGGAAAAAATTGTGAGACATAAAATAGGAGGCATTATTAAATATGGCTCAGTTTACATTGTAATGCTAAAGGTGATGACAGTATTTTCAAATTTTAATATTTTCATAATTTTTAAGATTTCTGCTCTCATTGTAATCTTCTGTATTTATATATTCTTTATATAATGAAAAAATATATTGTCATTTCTAGCAGCAAAAAAAGTAAAAGTTATACTGAAATAATAACAATAAAAGCAAAATCTGTTTATATTTTATTAGGGAAAATTTTTATTCTTTTTAAAAAGATTTGTACAAACAAAAAATGAAAATACTTTTTAATAAAAGTTTTTTCATCAGTTGAAAAGACAAACTCACACAGCAATAATCACTCAAAATAGAGATTTATTTTTTAGAGATTGAAATAAATTTCTATCCTATAAAAACATTTTTATCTGCCATATCTATAAAGTATTTTATTGGCAATTTCAAATTACAATATGTCATTTTCCCACAAAGAAAAATGAATGGGAATATTGTAGAATTTTTTTGTTACATAATTCAGTGTTTTACTTTATTTATATTAAAAAAATAATGTAAACTAATGTGAATTAATGTTTTATACATTTTAATATTCAATTCAGGATTAATTCTCAGGTAAACTGCTGAGAAGGACCTCAGCAAATGTAGTTATTTTGATATTGCATTTTCTTTTTGGAGTCTTCCTTATGTAATTAGTGATATGAATGCCATTCCTGCTCAGTTGAAGTTAATTTAATTGATCACAGGATTAAATGGTGATCAGATTTTATTATGGATTAATGAAAGGAGCAGGTAAAAATAGAACCATGAAGATATATTACTTTTGTTTCAAATCAAGATGAGGAAATGTGGCTAACAAGAAATCTCTTGTTAGATTTTGCTGTATTATGTTGGCTATCATTCTTAGAAGAAAAAAAAAAAGCAATACTTAATTAAAGTGACAATTTTGATCCTATAAAGATGTTTTTATCCATCTAAGAGAAAAATAAACTGAAGTGCTATATATATATATATATATATATATATATATATATATATAAAACAACAACAATGTATAGTCATTCTCTTCATTTGAATAACAGAATCTACATGACACGGAGTCTGAGATGCTGTGTGTTGCATTGCTGTATCTCTCCAGACATATCCAAGAGCTGTCCATAACTAAATTGTGTTTCTTGGGTGTCGCGGCATGGAATTTAGTGAGACATTAAATAGGTTTCATAAATGCTCAATGGACATTATATCTGGTGAGTACAGACGTTAACAGAATATGTGAAAGTGAACACAGTTTTCGGCACCAATAGCATGTCACCTGTACATCTGTGTGTTTGCATTGTCTTGTTGGAATAAGCCATCATTGAGAAACATAAGCATAAAGGGGTGCAAATGATCTATTGATATTTCTAGTTTACCTTTGTTACTGCTGTCTGAAAGAAAACAACAGTCATCATCTCAGAGATAGAGTGCCCTATTTTTCAGGCCACAATAATCATTCCATGGTTAGTGTTAAATCCCATGTCTGCTAGTCACACCTCTATTTCATCATATAAATATCATCTGGCTGAATCCAATTTTAGAATTTGAAATGGTTGAAGCCATCCAGTTTACTGATATCCCTTATTTAACACAATTCAGAAATTTAGATTCTCATATAATAATTTAAAATAATGTTTTAAGATTGTGCTTTGAAAATTCTTATAAATGTACCTAATTTTTAAAATAAAAGAATATCACATACTGTCATAACAAAATAAATTATTTGCATAATAAAAACTTCTGTGTCAACAGAAGGAAAATTAGTACTAATTATATGTCCAAATTGAAAAAATAAAATTGATTTAGCTTAAAGTAAATAAGATAGAAAATAAAATAGAAAAACCTTTATCAAGTGGTACTTATCTTCATCATAAAATATAAATATTGACTTATGAAAAGATAATAATCCTGAACAACAAAACCAAAATTACTTAAAACCAATAAAAATGTTAATCTTTCATATTGTTTATAAATAGCTGTAAGCATGAAAATGATGGCCATTCTAGTGGCACCCATATAAAGATTCTGAGACATCAGGTAGAGAAAAAAAATGGTTTTTACTTGGCCGCAAAAGTTCATGAATGTGCTGAACAATGAGATCAATTGCCACTGAAATAGATGAAAAACTTTAGTAAAATGTGATACAAGGAAAATAAGAATTATTGTCATAGACCAAATTTCATTGTAGAAAAAATTAAGTTTATCAACAAAGCAGTGGAAAAATAAAAATTCAGCAAGTTATATAAATATTATAGAAATAAAAACAAATCAATTACACTTAATTTTAAGAATATTAATTCTACATTTAGTTAAATGAAAAATGTGCAAAGAATATTTCATTTTTTTGCTTTTACAGATATATCAATTACAAAGGAGAGTGAATATGAAAAAGGATTGTTGCTTAAAACATTTAGTATCAAAGAATAAGAAAGCAAGACCTTTTAATGAAAAAAACAAAAAAGGAAAGAAAAATAACATCATATTGCTGAAACCTAAAATATTACTAGTGAATAAAATAAATTTTCACAAACAGTAATTTAAAACTATTTAGAATTCATGTTTATTTGTTACAGTTGTAAAGGAAATATTTCATGAAATAATATTTTACCTATGTTATCAGCTCCTCTTGGAATTATGACATCAGCATACTTTTTGGTCTGAAAACAAATATAAAATCATAAAGTTATATGATTTCTCAAAATTAGCAAAGAACATCCAGTGGTATATCAAAAGATGGAGTAAGCTAAAGATAGAAATAATAGTTAACCATGATAAAAAGAAGCTCCTTTTTTAAGAGTACAACAAATGATCTAAAGTTAGAATATTTAAAAAGTTTTAACACTATTGTTGAAAAAAAAAAACAATACTAATAGCTGCTGTCTATATTTCTGAGATGAGGTATTATGTACATTATTTATATTATTTGGACTATTGTCCTCATCTTTGTCACCATATTTATCAACGTTTCGGCCATTGTACGCTCTGGCCTTCTTCAGATGGTTGGAATATCAAACTGAAGCCTTTATTTCACTCCACTTGCCATGTTTAATGGATGTCAGTTATCAGTTAAATTGTTAATTTCCCTCTGAATTTCCACTGCCTTAACCGGGTATTGAACTCACACTCTTTGGATCCTGTCACTGGATCAAACCAATGCCTTTATCCACTCTGCCATGAGGACATCTTTGTATGAATTTCTGGGTATTATAAACCTAATGTCTCAGCAACCATTTTTACCAGTGCTCATATTGCCATTTTTGCTGTTATCATTTCATGTTTTTACCAGAGCTCATATTGCAACTTTTGTTGTTATTATTGCTTTTCTCTGGCACTCCTTATTACTGGTTCCCATATTGTATTCATTTCTATGCTTGGTCGGCTCAGAAGATTTTTGTGGCCTAGCATATAAGGGTTGTGGAGAGCACAAGAACTTCATAAATGGACTTGAATTCAATGTGTGGACTGATGCAACTTCTCTGGCCATTACTTAACATCAACTAGTTGTCTACATATCACTTCAAAGAATGCAAGAGTCTTTTTGTTGATAATCTGTGCACAGACCTTCTTTGTTTGCAAAAAGCAACAATGTAATTTGTTCATCAGTGATTAAGAACAACCAGTGTTCACCAAGGCTATGCTCTCGATTCCATTGACATGCACTTCAACTATATAGTTAGTGCCATGTTCACATCTTGTTTGGGGAGGAGACTGATGCTGATGTCTCCCCCACCCCCATTATTTTTCTGCACTCAGAAGAAATGTAGCTCATTTTACCACATTGAAAGCATCACATTTTCTTGTGTACTGCTCATGTGCAACCATCATAGTGCAAATGATAGATTTCTTGCAAAGGTCAAAGCATATGTAGTGTGTAATGTTACACTGCTTGATGTGCTCTGGCAATCCCACCTAAAACACTTAACTGATGGTAGGACATCACTCTAAATAGTACTGCATGTTTCTGCAATTTTGCCAGGTGCACATTAAGGATTTTCTAGTTGCAAATTTCAGGTCATGAACCCTAAGTCTATTGCTAATGATGTGCATAGAGCATTTTTTTTATATACTCACAGATGGACTCATCCTCCTCACTCAATTGTTGATAAATGCCAAATGCTCCATCTGTCAAACATAACAGAACTTGCTTGACTTTATGCACAGATCACATGAGTTCTGACATTTCAATCCATTCAATTATTGATTGGATGATTGCCAAGTTGTTAAATTTTGAAATTAGTTTGATATTAAACTGTCAATTATTTTTTCAGCAGCTCAAATAGCTTGTTAAAAAAAAAAACCCAAAAAACTGGCAGCTGTTCTTTCAGCTACAAGATTTGCATTACCAACTGCAAGACTTGATTTGCTTTCTCAGTTCTTTAACATTCATACTCAATTTCCATCACAACTGTTTCTGTTATGTTTGTCATTATTAATTTAGCAGTGAATGAGAACCTAACTGGATTTAATATGACATTTTGAGTAAGTTATATGTATTTTATTTCAGGTAAAGTAACAAATACATAAAAATTTACTCAAGCAAGACCCAACATATATCTGAAGGTCTTGATAATATAAAGTAGATGGCTCAAATAGTATTTACTTCATGCTACATGTGTGTGCATGTGTACATGTGCAAATAATTTTAATCAATTTCACAGGAAAGATAATAATGTTAGGAAATTAAGAACAAAAGTCTTCTTTAAGTATTATAATAGTATTAAAAATATACCTGTATCAGAATTATCCAAAGTCAAATCAATTCAAAAATACACACCCACACTTACTGGTAAGCAAAACTCCTCAAAGGCTGGTTTCACTAAAGTTGTATACTGATTGAGAATGTGTTCAAGGTCTCTTCCTCGTTCTTGGACATCCCTTGCAACTAATTGCCAACAGAAAAAAATAATTGCATATAATTAAATATTCAGATTCTGAGTCCTCATTTGCATATATAAACTGAAATTTTAAATGTTAATTTATATAAATGCTTTAATTTATAGAAAAAACAAAAGAAATGTTTGAGAATATACTACAGATTTTTATCTTATCACAAAACTTTGTTCAGAAATACTAAATTCTTCATGCAGTTCACAAAGATGTATGGTTTTTCATTAAATCCTTAAAAAAATACCATGACAATAAATTGCAATAATGAGTATAAGGAAGAAAAGGATCAAATAAAACCAGTGAGGAATTACTATAATTTTTTTTAACAAAGTTATTTTTAAATAAAATGTCTGTGGCAGTATTGGTTGTAAAAAATAAAAAATGAAAAAAATGAAAAGCAAATATATTATATAAGTGAGAAAATAAGTTTTTGAATGATGACTATTTTCACAGACATTGAATTTGAACATGATATTGTTCTTTAATAGACATTTGGAATTAATTATTGCAGTTCAATTTGAATTCAATTGAGTTCTTTGTGCGTAAACCCAAATATACATTTTTATATTATTAGAAACTGTACAAAAAACCCAAAAAACTACCTATTCACTGATACTTCTGATACAAATGGGTGGAAAACCTAAGGGGTGTCTATGTACTATTCATAATGGTTTGGATAAAATTGTTAAAAAGATAAATTTTATTAAACAAACTATATCATTTACAATATTTATTTCCTTTTAAAAGGAAAAAACAACAAATGTTTTTAATTTTTAAGAAAATTCAAACATTGGGTATTAACTCATGAAAGTAATCCAATTACCTCTTCTTGCAAGTCTAGTATCAGCATCTGTGTCAACAAATAATTTCATATGAAACATGTCACGTATTTCCTTAAAATAAAAGGTCAGAATTCCTTCAGCAAAAATTACATCAGGTTGTTCAAGTAAATCACCACCTTCTTCCCTAGAAACATTTAAAACAAAAATGTAAAAAAGGTTTTCATTGAATGTGTAAATATTTTCAATTAATAAACAAAGCTTGAGTATAGGGAGAAAAATCAGTGCAAATGTTTAGAAAAACATCTTTTACCCTCAAACAGAGAAATTTTATTTTATTCTTAAATTTAAAGAAAATTTAAAACTGTAATCAGCTCATCTTTAAGTAAAATATTCCCCAGAAAATACATAACAAATATCAAATTTAATAATCATTGTGATTTTTTATTAATCCTTTTCTATTAATACTTTCTAGTAAAAGATGCTTATGTTCATACATTATGATATTTCTCCTGCTGAAGTTATAAGAAAATCTAAAATCTTTGAAGAATACTAAAATCTTACCTTCTCATAATTTTTATTTATTTATTTTTATAAGTCGATTTCACCCCAAGCAAAGCCACTAAAACACAGGGGGTTACTGGATGTAAAAAAAAATAGAAACAAACATTGCTATTGAGCAAGAACAAAAAGTGGACAATAGATAGCAATTGACATTGCGTTTAAATTTTTGAAGATTAAAATAGGCTGGAAAGCATGAAGCCAGAAGGGAGTTCCACAATCAAGAAGTGTGAGAAAAGAAACTTACCATAGAACTTATGGTTACATCTAGCCAACTCAACTGCGCCTAAATTCATACATTCTAGGTACCATAGTAAAGAGCTTATCCGAAGAATTACCATGAAAGTATTTATAGAAAAGGCACAGGGAGGTAACCTTATGATGGTGAAAAAGTGATTGAAGCCAAGACACCAAATCAGGACCAATAATATTGCCGATTCTTTTTTGGGGTTTTATCAAGAAACTCTAGATAAATAGAAGGAAAACCGAACAATATGTGGTAACAATATTCTAAGCCTAGACAAATGGTAGACTTACAGATATGTAGGATGAATTCTGGAGAGAAAAATTGTCTCGCATAACACAGCAAACTATTTTTTTAGCAGCTGACCTAGCAGTGGATTCAATATAGTCTTTCCACTTAATGTCAGCTGAGGATGTTAGCCTGAGAAGGCACAAGTCACTTTCCTGGAGGTTAGCATCAGCCATGCTGATGGATGGCAGAGAAGGGTCTCTCAGATAATTAATGGAGAACAGTTTAGTTTTGAAGGTGCTATTTTATTTTTAACATACGTGTGTTAGCACATGCGATACCCTGTCTTCATCAGCCGCCGACCAGGGGTGATATCACGGTTTCGGTGGCTATGACGGGACTGCCACCCCTGGTGCCACCAGCAGCGTTTGCCACCAGGCAGGGTAAGATGATAAGCTAATTGATCATTCCTTTAAGTAAATTCTATCCGTAATGAAAGTTTCCTGAACGCGTTTGCTGTTATTGACACATTCGTAAAAATCGTCATAGATGACCACGCAAATATTTCACTTAACTAGCAATCTTTTGTCCCAGTTTACAACAGACTAAAGTTCATTTTGGACATTGGCTGCCATTTTGACCTTATCGAACTGATCAGATTTACTATCAGGACAGGAGTAAATAGTTGTGCCATCAGCACAGATAAGTTGAGAACCGATGCTATCAGGAAAGCCATTGATGAAAATTAAAAACAAAGAAGAACCAAGGATAGAGCACTGGGGGGGGGGACACCCACATTAGCATGAAAGGATCTAGATGAGTGACCATTCAGGATAACTTTCATTTTATGATTTGATAGGATCAGTTCAAAAATTTGTCTGGAAAACACATAACTCTTCAGCTTGTGAAGAAGACTTGTATGAAAAACCCCGTTGAAAGGTGTCAAGATGTCCAAAGCTACAGCTTGGGCATCACCATTTTTATCTAGAGCATGATAGGTTTTTTCCACAATTGTTGTCAGTACATTAACAATTGACCTGGAGAAAGAAAACTATATTGTTTGTCTGAAAAAAAAAAAAAAAAAAAAAAAAAAAAGCCCTGTGATGAGAGATGCTTAACCACTTCAACATTGATTAGGGCCTTTAGAAGTTTCTCAAAAAGAGGTTAAAGGCCAATTGTTTGAAGGGTCAGACAGCTCACCAGAGTTCTTAAAAACTGGAACAAGAGATGATGACTTCCAGCAGACAGGAAAGCAAGAGGCAGTGAGGCATTTATTATACAGTTTAGAGAGAACAGGAGCCAGTTCAGGAGCACATTTCTTAATGACTATTACAGGGATACCATCGGGTCCACATGTTTTATAGAGATCTAGGTTAGAGATGATAGCAGAAAACATAAAAGGAGTAATATGCATATCACTAAACAGAGCTTCAGTTAGGAAGTTAGGAAGAGAGTCAAGAGTAGAGTTTAAGGAGAATATATGAGTAAAGTATTCAGCTTCATCAGCAGATGTTAACACTTCAATTTGATTGAAGAGAGGATAAATAGAGACTTTACATTTCTTTAATACACTATTATAGAGCTGCCAGTATTCACAAAAGTCAAAGATTTTAAATGCAATGCTTCATTCTCTCAGCAAACAGAGACTTAGCTCCTTTGAGGACTCATTTATATTTATTACAAGCAGCAACAAATAGGCATCTGTTGTGACAGGAGCTGTCACAGCTGATAGAGCCAAGAACAGTGGTTCCTGTAGAATATAGTCTGACCATGCTGGTGTGAACCATGGAGAAGATTGAGGTTTCACCTGGTATTGATTGAGGTTTCCTAGATGGAATCCATGATGGCTTTGATCCAAGAAGAAACCTCAGTGGTGCAATTCTCAATTTGAAGGTTAAAGATGTCAGTCCAAGGGGCATCCCAAAGAAAATCACAGATTGAGTCTCAATCAGCATGCTGGTAATAAAAAGAGGTTTTATGAATAGGAGGTTCCTGTTTAATAGATGAATGGAATGAAATATCAATAGAGTGATCAGAGTTTCCAAGAGGGCAGTGTTGCGAAGCTCGGCAAGAGTAAGGAGAGGAGGTAAGAAATAAATCAAGTAGAGAAGACTGTTGCATAGCTTTGCTAGGGAAATGAGTAGGGAAATCCATGATTTGAGTAAGGGATTGAGCAACAGAAAAATTTAATGTCTGAATACTGGCAATGTCAGTAATTTTAGAATGTTTAAGCCACATGTGATGGTGTGCATTAAAATCACTGAAGACGAAGTCTTCACAGATGGAGAGAGAGTGCCTTTTCTATACTGTCAGAGATTATGGTTAAAATACTGCAGTCCTTAGAAGAAGGGGTGCAATAAAAGAAACAGGGATACCTAACAGAATGTAATAATGAAAGATGAAAGCACATGGAAGTGTTGTCTGGAGACTCAAGAGACAATTCCCTTGTCATTGAAAGATTATCCCGGATGTAAATACAAAAGCCATGCATATGAATGCTGGAATCTTTACTGCAAAGGGGAAGATAGCCTGGAACAGAGAATTCATTGGTAGCAATGAAAGAATTTAAATTGGTTTCACAAAGTGCAAAGACATCTGGCGACCATTCCAAGAGGAAAGATCCTACACTGTAGAAGTTGGAATGGATACCACAAAAATTGGAGAAAGAAAAGTTGGGGTGGGTAGGTGTTGTTTTTTTTTGCTGTTTATTAGTTTACTCATATTTTTTATTTTCATTGTGTTTGTCATAAGATTTGTGTTCAGAAAAAAAAAAAAAAAAAAAGAAACCAACATAATTATCACAATCTGTTGTTCATTGTGATACAAACTAGCCAGAGTGTGGCCAAGACCAGAACTTAATGTGGCCTCAGGGTTGCCCACCAGAAATACATGCAGGGAGACCTACCCATGTGTGACATGGCACTACAAATACTCTGATATAATGTGACTGTGGATCTGAGAAGTCTTTCTAAGCGCTACCAAAGAGTTTGAGATCCTAATGACCAGTCGGAAGCAGCATCCAGCAAACTATCAACCCAGTACTCTCATAATGGAAGTCACAGCCACTAATTAGTCTGATCACCAAAAAGTTAAGACAGTTAAATCCTTATTACCCTGGTAGAAGAAAGAAACAGTAAACCATATCTGAAACAAGGGATGATTCTTATCCCCTTGTCCAATAGACATGGAAGGAGTGTGAGCAATAAATGAGCCTATTTACTACTATGGAAAACTTCATCTATAGTCTATTTGAAGAAACATTCTTCTCTAAATCAGTATTTTAATGACCAAAACATCACAATTCTGATTGGGGAAGTGAGTATGACAGAACTTTTTAGCTCTCGACCCCGTACGGGGTGCGATGGGTAAATTGTCGCCATTTTATATTTTTACTTCTGTGCATTTGCATTGTTTGTTTTTTGTCAACTGCACAGTATAGTAGGGTTAGTTTGGCACTGTCTGTAGGAAAAAGGGCATCATAACACAATTCACTCCACCAGAAATTTGGAAATGGCATACTCTACTGCTTGGCATTCATGCCAGAAGCTCCAATACAAACATTTCAGAGTGTTTGGGTGTTGATCTGAGGATAGTGCAGAAGATTCAGAAGATTGGTGATTACAAAGGCTTGATAACTTGGAAAACCCACTCTGATAAGAACTCCCGAATTTATTAGTGAGGGCCTTAGACTCAACATGGAGGCCTTCAAGTGCCTTGAGGAGGCAGTGCTGCCCGGGGTCAAGAAGTTGGCTGCTGGAAGACCATGTCTGGCAACAGGACTCTGCACCATGACACACAAGCAGGAGAATCCAGTCATGGCTGTCAGACAATTTTTGCAACCACATCATTGCATATATATCTGGCCACCTAACTCCCCAGACTGCAACCCCCTTGATTGTTATGTATGGGGCACAGTTAAGTGAGAGACCAACAAAACTCCTTGTAACACCAAAGATGAACTGAAGGCAAGGATTATGGCAGCATTCACCAAATTAAATAAGGAAACTTTCCAGAAGAGTTGCAAGAGATACCAAAGTTGTCTGGAGGCCGTGGTTGAAGCAAATGTGATTTTGTTGAATAAATTTATTCTTTAGTCTTTCAAGATATTTTTGTGTAATTTTGGTAAAGATATCTGTTAAAATGAGATGACAGTGTTACTTTTATTTTTGCATTATTTAGATGACATTTTATCCCTTGCATCCTGTATAAAATGCAAAGTGTAATTCTAAGTTTTTTTTTGTTTGCAATTTTTTGTTATATTAGAGTTATCTCTCTTGTACTGAAAATAGCAGGTGGTACTATTTTATGACAATGGTACACTGAAGAAGTTTACTAACCAGGAGTGAAAAGATCAACTCCGAGAGTAGAGCTCAACAATAATAATTAGAAAAAGGTATTTAAGGACTCGTGTAATAATAAAGATTTAACAAAATATCAATTTCATACCTGATTTCATTTTTTATGGCAAGAGTAAACTCATATGAAAAATATGATTTTACTGAATACAGCAAAAACTAAGTTGCTTCTAGAAAATAAACAAACTTAGCAAAAATTACTTCAATTATTTTCAGAATCAACACTGCTTTATTGTTCAAAGCTAAGTTGAAACATGGACATATATATTCCAAGAAATTCTCCAGTAAAATTAAAGATTTTTTGTTATTATAGTTTATTAATGAGGATATTTTAATGAGCAACCAAAAATGTGTGTTTAATTCTAGTTTTAGAACTAGAATTCAGCACACTTTTTCAAACATATCTTGCTTTCAGCAATAAAGTAAAACTTACCTTGCACAAGAAATATAGTTATATTTAGGGATAAGCGTTGACTTGGAAGCAGCTAAATCTTTCAAAGCCTGCAACATTCTGCTATAGTCAAATGCATCTGAAAAAAATAATGATGCATCAGAGTGATGCAATTTTATTTAAACATTCAAACACCAAAAAGTGATTTAACACATTATTTAGTCTTCAACATCTTTGCAAATTAAGTCAACACAATGCACATTTTTCAGATATAACAAAAGCATAAAAATTTCAGTTACCAGATGAATTTGGAAAGTTAATTATATAAAAATCTAAACAAAAAAGAAAAGAAACTAAACAAAATTGGCTAGACTATATATCCAAACATACATATAAAGGAAATGAAATTTTAAAGTTTAAAATTTGAGTGTACCCGCCTGTTCATGTACATGCCTTACATTTTTTTCCAGACTAAATAATTTTTGAGTAATATAAAATTAGTGATATTATTCAAGTGTAAGTAGAGAAAGCTTGTTTGCTTAGTGAGAAAAGAAAAAAAAACAGTGAATTAATTGCTCTCCTGTTCTCTCCCCTTTGAGCAGGGAAAATAAAAGAGTGTGTGTGTGTGTGGGGGTGTCAGAGACATGTAAAACTTTTGCTGCTTTCCTTCCAGCCGTATTAAGCCATATTATTGCTCTAAGACATATTTTCTCCTGATGCTCTAATGTTTTTATTGCCCATGTGGCAAAGATCAAGGACTTGCCTATTCAAATGACCTAAAGCTTTCTTCATGGAGTCAGACAGATTTAGATGATAAATGGGTATTTAATCAATTTGCAAGTTTCTTTTATTGCAGATTCTGATGTTGTATGATTAGTCAGTACTGAAGAATATATACAGAATGCCTGGTGACCCTAATGTCACATTAAAAGTTATATCTTTACTGTTTTTAAAAAGATTTAACCCATAAAGAGTCCCTTCCTAAGACCTGGATTCAGTCATGTGACCACTACCCATAATTTTCTTCTTGACCAGTTTGGAGCGAAAAGGAACAACCAGAAAAGTTCAATTTTTTTAGATTAAAAAGGTAAAGTTTTCATCCATTTTAATACTTCAAAATTTAATTTTAAATACTTAAATTTATTTTAAGAAAAACTACATAAAAAAAGTAAACTGACAAGTAAATTTTTTTGTTAAAATAAAGCTTTGGTTCATTAAAAAAAAAAAAAAAAATGATCTAAGTCAAAATCATTTTTTTTAAATCCTTTTTAGAACCTTTGAAATTTTGGTTAAACATCTTGTTGTTCTGGAGTCAATGGGATACCATAAATTAGTACAGAAAAATTGAGCATCTTTTTGCATTGAAAAATACATTGATTTAGAAAATCTTGCAAAAATCAGATAATTATCAGATTTTTAATGAAACTTTCAGGACTTATTTACAAATGAATGAAATTATTTTTTTTTTTTAAATATTTTTACCTCCCACTCCTTCCTTACACACAGAGACACACTTAATTTTATAAAATTTCAGGAAATTCTTTTTGTGAGCACTTAATGTTTATATTAATTGACCCAAAGAATTTTCTGTTTTCTTTTATTTCGTTGACAAAGAACATTTTTTCTTTTTCTTTTGTGATACAGCTTTGCTGTGGTTCAAACCAGCAATGCAATTACTGACACCAACTCAATCTTTGTCAGTTCCAAGATCAAAAAGCACAATGTGGCAGAGCAAAACGCAGATTGGGACAGCCATTTCAATGATCAGTGTGGGCATGGACTCAGGACCGACCAGCGAGAAGTGTCATAAAGAAAGTTTTTGTAAGAATAAGACAATGAAATCTTCATTTCGATATTCAGTCTAAAATGTGTGTGTGTGTATATATATATATATATATATATATATATATATATATATTTAAACTTTAAATTTTTATTAATTTTAACTAGATTAAGTAATCTAATTTTATGTTGATATTACTTTGATTTCAACTTTTTGGATAGCGTTATGAGGTTTTGAATATTTAGTAATTCCCTTTGGTCTGGAAGGGGCTGAGAGCCTTATTTGACAACCTTACTAGATATGGTGTCTTGATAAAAGTGCTTCCTGTGCTGTGAATAGGTTGATAGAAGTAGATAGGTTCACCTATCGTCCAGCCAGTACTCCTTTCATGCTCATTGAACAGGAGTTTATCAATTGTTTCCTTTTAAAGATATAGTTTACCAGTTCTTTCTTCCATGGCAATGATTTAACAGTCTTAACATTTTGGTGATCTGACTGATCAATGGCTGCAACCTTTCATTTTGATGCTACCAGATTTGCAGTTTTCTGGTTGCTACTTCACATCAAACAAAATCATTGTAGAAATACTCTTATTGTCTTGAATGAAGTGCACTGAGTCAAGTTTTGTCAGACTAATTCTATAATAAAGAAAATCACATATGAGAATCATTTTTATAAATACAAGCAAAATAAGCAAGGTGACACACTCTGGTCAAAAGCAAACTGAACAATTCTGCTATGTGTTTAGACTAATTCTTATACCAAAAGTTATTAGTAAAAATTAAAATGTTACCTGGATGGTCAAAATTGAACTCTCCTTTGCTTGCTTTTTTTTTCTCCTCTTCATTGAGATCTCGATAAAATGAATCTTGACTAATTATCACAACTTTTTGTCCATCACTGTCAATATGCTTCAGCTGCTCAATAATTTTGGCACATACAGACGACTGAAAAAGAATAATTGGAAATTATATTTAATTTCAATGTTTTACTTATTTTAGATTAGGTAAGTCATTTTTAGACTATGGAGAAAATTATTTTAAGCTTTTGTTAATATTCTTTTACATACACTGTTCATTATTTTGTTCTAATGTACGACTTAGGTCTGACAAAATTCAGAAATATCTGGAAGCACCGTACATAAGTCCATATGAAGTAGACAACCACAACAATAAGTACTTTACTATAACAACTGTAGAAAACATGAATAGCAATGATTTCATAGATTAAAACCAGCAGTTGTCTCAGAAACAATGAAAATACCTAATATTGATATAGCAATACCAGCACAAAAAGATACATCACTAAATATCAACAGGATTAAGGAGACAAAACACAACAAGAACTAAGTCTGGTAGATTGGTTACTTGGAAAAGAGACAATGCATAGCACTAAAATAAATGTACTAAAGAACTCCATCAAATCTGGAAAGGGAAGTGATGTTGCAGCGACCATCAATACCTGCACTGGAACGTCAGCGTCTCTACCTTTCCGACCACCTTTATTTCTTTATAGAATAAATTAGCATATATCCTATATATCCTCGTTTTGTCGTCTATGTTGTTTCACCTTGTCAGATTTAACGTCTTCGAAATGTTAGCGAGCCTCTTGTGACTTCATCACCCTCAATGTGGTGAGTACAAAATAACGCCCTTTTTAGTACCCACTCCCTTCAAATTTGGGCAAGCTGAGAAAAAAGAAAAATTTTGAAAGATTGGTTCAAAAAAAATTTCACACAATGAAAACTTTGTCTTCACAGAAATTGGCCGGCGGGCTGAGAAAAAAAAAAAAAAAAACCCCTAGCCTATGCAAAAATCTTTTTTGATAAAAAAAAAAAAAAAAAACAAAAAAAAAAAAAATCAGGAGAAAAGAGTCTGCTGAAGTCATGTGAAAAGTTTAATTTCTGTTCAACACGCGTCGAGCGTTTCGCCAGCGTCAAATTACTCGCTAATTATATTATTGACCTTAACAAAGCACTTCAAAGAATTTTATTCCAACAATCCAAGCTAAATATTTCAAACTTCTTCATCTACTTTTTTGAACGTAATGTAACACAGTGTGATCCCTTCTGCGAATAACAAACTCTCTTAGTCTTACCATTGATTTTTAAACATTTTTGATTAATTTGCGTCAGATAATTTAATCTGTTTTTAGTTTAAAAGTGAACATTTTCTCTTCATGACAATTTGTTGAAACTACGGACTTCAAAAATTTGATTTATCTACTAGCTGACACAACTTCAAGTGTGTAAATTCGTAAATAAATTCCGAGGTTGTTTTTGTTAAAAGTACCCGTGTACTTGTTCCTTGTTAATCTGCCTCCATTAACCTTCTTGGCGTGGGTAAATCAATTGTTCATCCCGAAGCCCCACGCCACTAAACGCAGTATCGTTATCAGTGAGGATTTCATACGGCCGACCTTTCAAACAATATTGACCATCCTGACTGTTCTGTGGAATTACCATTGATGATCCATGTTTGTCTGGAGTTCTTGTTCATGAACTCGTTGGTGCCTGATTTTCGGCCCACTTCCATGACGCCGTACACGCTTTTTTTTAGAATGGCATTTATCCACATGCAGAAAGATTGCCCGAACCGAAAAGAGACTGTGGCCAAGACTTTTTTAAAAAAAGAATTATATTGATTGATGAGAGATGCCTAAAAATGGCGCTAATCAACGAATGTTATTGATTTCAAAACAAAAACTCTTTCCAGACAATTAGTTTTTGTTTTTTTTAAATATTTTGCTTATTAGAAATTATTAGCTTGAAATTAAAAAGTAAACTAAAATAAAACTTCAAGAAAGTTTTTCATTTTAAAAAAAATAAAATTCATAAGCCTTCCTTAGGTATCGCGAATCTTTGAAAGCACCTACATTTTTAGAAGTGTTTTTATATTAGTTAAATTATACTTTTGCGTTTAATACAATGCTTTTTTACTTTAATTATTCTAAATTTAAGAGTTATTGAACCATATTATTATTCTTCCGATAAGGAAAAGTAGTCAACGGCGGTAATTCAGAATTATTTCCCTTTTTTTTTTTTTTAACATTCATACCAAAATAATAACAGTTGCTATACTAAAAAAAAAAAAAAAAAATCTTTTAAAAAATGTTCACGCTCGGAAGCGTCATTAAACTTTACATTTTTTGATTCTTCAATCATGTTTTGATTTAAAAAAAAAAAAAAAAAAAAAATCTCTTATGACGAACAGTAACGGGATGAATTTCAAAATCGAACAAGTAATTTTTTTTTTTTTAAATTAAGAAAGTAAATATTTAAATTTAAAGAGTAGATTTTTTCTGTCAATCCTAAAAGAAAATGTAACGGGTTTTATTAAATTACGCAAGCACCAATTGTCAAACATTTATCTTTTGAGTTTTATTGAATTATTATTTTTTTTTTTTTTGTAAAATTCAGGACGAGTTTTCCTATGTTCACACTTGATATTGCTGCAATGCGTAATTATTTTTTACTGAAATATCTTCACTGCTTCAAGGACTTTTTATATAACTGTAATAAAAAATAAAAAGTTGGCGAACACCCAAATTAAAAAGTACATAATACGAGATATCGAAAAAGCGGGGGTAGGAACAGACCCTCAAACCTTTTTTTTTTAAATAAAATAATCAGTATACAATTCATTCATTACTTAATATTCCATTTGAAATGGATAATCCTTTGATTTTTTTTTGTAAATATTTCCAACTTTAAAAACAGGGAATAGCGAGTTTTTTGCCTTCAGAAAAAGCATCCATTTTCTTTAAAAGGTACCTAGTGTAAGAAGAATATGGTTTAAATTCAAATTAAATTACATATACGACAATTTACGTCTTCAAAAGAATAGTAAGGTTTTTTTAGTACAGTTTGTTTTTTAATACAATCAATAATTTCTTTACTTTTAAGAATCTGACACTGTAAAAAAAACAGAATTCGACAATACAATTTTAAAATGTTTGACTTGCGTGACGATTCAATTGGGGAACCACAGTTAAAGGGAGATTATGCCGAACAGCTTATTTAAAATAAAGAGGTTTAATGAAAATAAGCAAACTAAAAATATCTATGCTAATTCGTTTAAGAAAAAAAAACTTATTTATTCTTTTAAGATTTATTTAATAGAAACTGACTAGAGATTAAAAAAATCTAGAGTTCATTTTTTTCTTAAAAGATGGTTAAAAATAACTTACCTGTAAAGTAAAATATACAAAAACAAAACATTTTGTTACTTTGTACAATCATGGAGTACCAACCTTTCCCGATGCTGTTCCGCCAGCTATTCCAATTAAAAAAGGCTTACTTGGTCGCTCTATTCCAGTTTGCAACTGTAAACCAGATGTGATCTGATTGAAAGAAGCCATGTTTTGTGAATAGGGAAATATAACTCTGTCTAGAACAAAATATTATGTTTGCGTTTACACTTTTGTTTTTCAAGTACTGCGCATGTGCATTAGAAGCGAAATAAGCATAGTTCAGGGTTTCCTGAAGTTTTTTTGTCATGTCGTAAATACCATTTCCCAAAAGTTGCGAAACTTCCGAAGAATAACCACAACCACCGCTACCATAATTTTGATAAAACCAAAATTTTATGAAATAAAACAAATTAAAAAAGTTATTTCAGTGAGAAAATTTACACATAAACAACTCTTTGGATTTTATTTAATTAATTTGTTTTGTATCTTGTGATGAAAAATAAACGCCGAGTTACACAATTTTCGATCTAATTATCCTTGTGATTAAATTAGAAGTGTTTTTCGGTCAAAAAGATATTAGCTAAAAAAATTTACGTAAGATTTTTTAATTGTTTACTTTTTTCACTCAGCAATGCTGACTTGGTTTGGTACGTACTTACGTAGTAACTGGTGTTGAGTGACTTGAGTTAATCAAATTCATGGTTTCAATTTCCCATTTCCTAATACTCCGCTTCAAATTAGTTCTTTTTCTGTACAGAGGGCCCCGGGCATCACATTCAGCCCACAAAACATTTTTTTTTTTTTTTTGTACATGTTCTTTTGAGAGAAGTGTAAGAAGGCTAGCTAGACAGTTTGTGCAAAAAATTGTTTAGTTTTTTACACATGTATCTTTTTTAGGCACAGCGGTTAAAAACCGCCACAATTGTTAAGGGTGCATTAAGTTTATAGAAAATTATATTTTCATATTTACAAATTTACTGGCCAACGAGAGATGTGGTCTCAAGCCCTATAGTACGAACCCGAATGGGAGCTTTCTTTGTGTGATCCTCTTTTTTTTCCTAATAAAAGGACTCAAGTCAGTAGATAACTCCAGAAGGCTTTTGATATCAAGGAGGAGAAAGCATTGCTGACATGAAGAAGAGAGCAACAAGAAAGCACAGAGTTACAAGCCAGCTGCAAGAGCCCAAAATAATTTTAAAGTTTACAAGTGGAAATTCTCCTGAATAACAAAGAACAAAACAAAAAAAAAAAAAATTCAAAGACATTTTCCCAAAAGCCTCAATGAAGCAAAAACAGCGTGAATACAAAAAAAAAAAAAAAAAAAAGACATTTCCAAAATTGTTATATGTTCCAGAGATTCTTCTTGTGGGACAAATAAGGTAGTTTTTTGTTTTTCTAAAAAGGTGATTGCACCTTTGTTTTACTGCCTTCTTGAATGTGCTATCTCTTTTTGTCATTTTCAAAATTAAATAATTGTGATTTTTTTCCCCATTTTCAATGGTAATACTCTTTTTGAAATGCATCTGTAAATGAAATGTTATCCTGCCTTAATTATTTATCAGGTATACAAAAGAAAATTTTTGTGCAAGAGTCTAATGTAAATTTTTGTATTTTTTTCCTTTTTCAGTATACTGTAACAAATACGTAACCTTTAAAATTTTACACAGTAGTTTGAGTCTTGATTGCACCTTATACAACTTTCTATTCTTGCTAACTAGGTTTTTATTTTTAGCACAAGAATTTAGATTTAGTAGATTAAAACTTTTATATTAAGCATAAAAGAGACAAATTTAATATTTGTGTTATTTAAAATCTTTATACAAATCACTGCAAAAAATATAAAACACTTCCAATTAGATTAGTGAATCTGACTTTGCCAATACTGAGGGTGTTAGCAAAATGTCTCTGTGAGAATGATGTGGGTGTTTGATATATTTGAGCAGATATGTGTGTTATGTCAGTTGGCTGAAGTCATGGTGGTGACATTGAGAGCCTGTTGGTGTTGACAAGTGGCCATGTTCCATGCCAGTTATTAATTGGTGATTTCCAGATTCATCTAGGCATTGCATGCGTTTTATTTTTTGCAGTGATTTGTATAAAGACTTTAATTACACAAAGACAAAATGTCTTTTTTATGCAAAAAAAAGGCTAGCTAGACAGTTTGTGCAAAAATTTGTTTCCACGTATCTTTTTTAGGCTCAGTGGTTAAAATATAAATCTAAATTCTAGATAATCAAAATTTCTTTATTTTTGTATACATATATGTATGGTGGACCCCCTGGAGGGGGGTGCAATATAACATGGCCTGTGTGCCCCAATAAGTATGAGTCACAAGAGGCCCACTAACATTTTAAATTAAAGACATTAAAATCTGACAGGTAGAATAAAAATGGACAACAGAATGAGGATATTATAATTAATACAAAATTTATTTAAAATACAGACCAGAGTCCTTGTAGGTTAAATTAGCATGTAAGTCCACAGTTAGAAGGTTAAGTTCACATGTCTGATGAAGGTGTTGAGTGGTTGCTGGTTGAGTCCAATATCCAGTGCTGGCGTTGAGTAGTTGCTGTTGAAATCCAATGGTGAACCTTCTGTTGTATTTTAACCAAAGTGTATGGAATAGGTTATTTGAATTCTGGATGATATAGTTAAAGAGAAGAAAGATCAATTTAAGCATCCACTGCTGGTGTTGTGTAGTTGCTGGTCAGATCCTCTGTCTGGTGTTGGCGTTGCATAGCTGCTGGTTGGGTTCAATTGTGAACCTTCCATAGTATTATAACCAAAGTGTACAGAATAGATAATTTGAGTCAGGACAATATGACTTCAGCAATTTCCTAAACCAGGTGAGTTAGGTTGACAGGAACACCAAGAAGCAGGGACCTAGTGCAACCAGAAGTTTAGGGCTGTTTTTTGTAAGCATTAACTCCAATCAACCAAGTGAGTTAGGTCGAGATAGTAATGGTGGATGTAGGGACCATGATGTAGCAAAGGAAATATGAATAGATAGGAAAGCCTAACTAGTGTCCAGTTGGCAGACAAAAAAAAATAAATAATGCAAATGTAATTCAATACATAACCTATTCAACTACAATGGCCAGGGGGCCTACAATATTTATTATTGTAATACAATAACTGTGGCACAAGGCCAAAAAGGGGGTTGGGGTAAAGGACGGTCATCACTTGTCTTAGTATAAAACTTAGCTAGCCACAACCACTGACCCTATCATACAAAACAATATTCCTTTCACCAAAACAACACATTTATCCATACCTTTCTTACTACATTCACCAAAATGCCTCTTTGACTCAATGAAAATCCTAAATACTCCCCTTATGTACAAATATTGTCTGTGGGGGGAGGGGCATAAAAACAACAATTTTAAAAAGATTCCCAATGAATATATATAAAATGACAAAAATATTTACAAGAAACCAAACAAAAAATAGTGTTAGTAATACCCCCCCCAACTTTTGAATGTGGCAGAAATATCAGTTAACCGGACGAAATCGATGCAGGACTATGAAAATAAAGAACACATTCATTCCTCCCAAACATTCACACAGGCACACACTCATTCATACACAACAACAAATACGAAAAACACACACGCGAAACGAAAGGCGCCCCACATCCACCAGAGAACTGACATCACTGACCACCTAAACGAGGGAGGGGATGGGGAGTTAAACTAAACAAAGAAAAATGGGGACAGAAATAAAAGGGACCAATGAGCAAAACACACCCTAGCTAAGTTTACTGAAAAGAAAAACTAAAACTCAAAAAACAAGACCTATGCTAACCTAATTTCGGGATGGGTTGCTTATGTTGAACCCAGGAAAACAATATCCTAAGGCCTAACCGGCATCCAAATGCCACTCAAGGTCAGCCCCTTTTACTCGGCACATACACGCAAGATTCACCCACCTTTTGCCAAATTCTGATGAGGTGAGCCACCGCCTTTCCATCCTAATCTCGACTTTAAGCTGATGCTTAAAGAACAAGATCAGTTGGGAAGAAGTGAACTTTTCGCCCTCATAGCAATCGTCCAAATCATTACTCTCATAACCCCTAGCAAGCAACAGAACACATAGTGCTCAGCCTTCGTCATCTGCGGCACCACATTGCTACAAACAGAACAGGCTTCAAGGACAAAAAACTTTCCCTGCAGCATGCAAACCATGAGGCCTTCAACAAACCTGCACAACGGCACTACCGACTTGCACTGAAAGAAGGCATGACCAATGGTCTCAACTTCCCCCGTACAGCGACGACAGTTTGGATATTTCTCCAAGTCTGCTGAACAAAGTCTCTTGCCGACCCAGAGGGCTTCATGAATCACCAGCCAGGTGAGTGATGCCTCATCGTTATTGAGTCATTTCAACCCAGGCGCCCAAGGCCATATCGAGCGAGCCTCCTGCTTCGTAAGACTGAGCTCGCCAATTAGATCATCTTGTATGCCCCCCCCCTAACTAACACTTGATATAATGCCTTGCGAGACAACGCCTGGGCGTTGGAGAGGCCATCCGAAGCCCGTAAGAGGAGCTTCAGAGCGCGACGACATTCACGATAGAAGGAGCACTCAGCTCGTGGTGTACGGCCGGCCTCTTCTTCGCACAAGTGCACACTTCTCAGGGACGGGAAATGTTTCTGGACGTCTTCTTTCCAAAAGGCACCCTCCTCATCCGACCCGCGACACATTCAGTCTAGAAAGGTGATGCGAAACATATATTGACGAATCTCAATGCTAGGCATACCCAGACCGCCCTCAGAGGGATGAAGGCAACAGATCTCGCGAGATACCATAGGGGCCTTGTCTTTCCACAAGAAAGAGAACAAAGTCCTTACTAATAAAATTAGTCTGGCATATGGGAGTGGAAGTACAGAGAGTCGGTACAGGAGAATCGGGTATATGTGTGAAGCACATACCTCCATGCCCTTCCTTCAGGGAAAGTCTCCTCCGAGACCACAGATTAACTGTGATCTCGGCCTTCCTTTGTGCCTCCGACCAATTCATTTCAACTGGAGATCAGGACCGAACCAGACGCCGAGTATCTTGATCGCCCATCCGTCCAGAGGAAAGGTCCAGGAAGAGAAACTCCCTCCACGCACCCAACCGCAAGCCCACAGACTTATCGCGGTTGATCTTTGGCCCCCGTCACCATCT